GGCAGAAATTGGACCAACGAGCATACACTTCTGTTTCAACTTTTTCTCGTGACCTCGCAAACGTTTTTACGTCCGAAATTGGAGTTGAATCCGTGGGTGATACTGCTGAATTGCAGATGCAGATCAGCGGCCGTGCCCCAGAGCTCAGCTTGGAGCAACGCGAAAAGAGAAAGCTTGCAAAGCGGATCATCAAGGCGATACAGCCCGCCTTGGAGGATTCTCTTAAGAAGGAAAGCGAGCTAAACGGCAAACCTTTTGAGAAGGAACTGAAAGATTTGGATGTCCTGTTGGAGAGTAGCGTCTTGTCTCGCAGGGGCTCGCTCGCTGCGCCACCCGGGGATGCAACAACTGACCAAGCGGATGCTGAGCAACCGCCGTTGGCGAACGGCATTAAGTCTGATGCCGAACACGAACAACCAAACATAGAGGTAAATGCGACCGAAACGGAAAATCCCGCCACAAATGAGGACAACGATATTGTGATGGTTGACGCCAATGGAGAAACGGAGGCCGGCCGCGATGCAAATGAAATTCCCGGTCCAGAAATCGATGGCGCTACTACTGCCAACCTGCCCGGAACTACTCCTGGTAGCCTAGCCAATGGGATAAAAGTGGGTGACGAGGAGGCTTTTTCTAGGGTTTCCGACGTCCAAATGGCATCCCCAACTTCTCCCAATATGGAGGACAGAAAAGAACAGGCCCCTCTATCTCAAGGCGGTATACAGTGGTACATGCAACCGTTCGACCCAATCGGGACAACCATCCACGAGGAGAGGTGGACTGGTCGGGAGGTCCTTCGAGGGATGAGTGAGGAACTCAGTGAAATTGATGAAGACGAGCTACGGGATCTTGTTGGAGATGAGCTTCCTGATTGTGCACCAGACGGGCCAAATGGAGTGCCTGCTGCAGGTGTCGACCAGCCCATCGACATCCCAGCGGAAGCCTCCAAACCGAAGGTCCATAAAACGCGCAAACGATGGCGGGGGTTTAGGTAGGCTATGGAGAGGGTATAATACAGGTGTTTTGTCTTCTTGGGGCGTTATTTCGTGGTTTTGATTTGATGTTTATTCTACATACCCCCGTACTATCTGGATTTGCCATTTTGTGGATGCTGGGTTTAATTCACAGGTCGTTTGGGTTTGTTTGTTAGATGGCGTTTCCCGTATCTTAGATAGTATGTATTGGCCGTGCAATAATATTCTCTGGATTTACACGCTCTGCAACCATCCACTACACTGGCCCGGTCGTAAATCGCAACAGATAACCCCTATATAACCCCTTGATTGTCTTGGATGCCCTTTTTGGGTTTGTTTAGACGCCGGAGCCGCCTCGCCCGATTTGGGTCTGGATCCGGCAAGCAGCCGCGCTAGGCCGGATCGGGCCAAAAGCCTAAATCAATTGTTCTTCTCTCCAGCTCCAAGCAGCCTGCAACTTTTTGTCTCCTCAACCTCCCTCATCGACCTCCATCCATCGCCACGCTGCCACCTCTGTGCAGTCTGCATCCTTCTCTCCCTCAACAACCTCTCGTCCGTTCCTCCTCTTCCGCTGAGCTGCTTTCACCAGTTCTCCTGACCCCCAGTTGTGCTACCTAGGTGAAACCCATCTTCCAACGTCCCAACTTCGCCACCTGTCTTGTCTTTGTTCTGTCCCTATTCCTTGCCCTTACGAATAATGGCCTCCATGGAGTACGAAAACGAGAACGGTCGCTTTGACGGTATGTATCGATATACGCAAAATGTAGCTGTTGACGGGCGACTGATTTTTTCTCCCAGATGAACCCCGGTTTGATCGCGAACGTAGCGCCTCTCCACGAGGTGCTGGTAGAGCAGGAGGCGCTCGAAACCGGAGCATGTCTCCAAATGGTCGTGGCGATACACGGTAAGCTTATTATTATCCTTTACGCGTCAACTATGTCGTCTAATGACTCTCAAGTGCTCCTCCCGTTGATATCCGGATGAAACTGGATGATGACGACGAAGGATCAGTCAACACCGGCTCCAACCTTTTCGTTACTGGCATCCACCCTCGTCTCACCGAATCGGACGTGTCGCGCCTATTTGAGAAATACGGGGATGTCGAGAGCTGCTCCATCATGCTTGACCCGCATACGAAAGAATCGCGTGGGTTTGGTTTCGTGAAGATGGTCACGTCGGAGCAAGCAGACGCCGCCAAGGAAGGTCTCCAGGGCGAAGTTATCGAAGGACGCACCCTCAGCATCGAGAAGGCCCGCCGTGGTCGTCCCCGAACCCCTACACCTGGAAAATACTTTGGTCCCCCCAAACGTGGTACGTGATGGATATGTTGTTGCTATTTTTTTAGCCTTCATTTTTCGCGTCAAAACTAACCTAGTCAGCAGATTTCCGTGGCCCACCCCGTGGTGGCCGTTTCGAACGCTACGATGATCGTCGGGGAGGATATGGTGGCCGCCGGTTCGATGATGGTTACCGCCACGGTCGTTACGACTCGTACAACGAACGTAGCCGTGACTTTGGTCGACGCGAACCCCGTGATGACGCTGGATACCGTGGTGGTATCGACCGCTACGCAACCTCGGGGCGTGAAGATAGATATGAGCGCCGTGGCGGCGGTGATGATCGTCGTGGGGATGATCGTCGTTCCTACTATGATCGCGACGAGTCTCGTGCCCATCATTCTTCCGCATACGCCGATGCCCCCCCTCCCCGTGAAGCTCGCGAACCATATGGAGGAGGAAGTCGTTCTTACGAGGGCCGTGGTGGGGAGGAGAGATACGGCTCTAGATAGGTAGGTATGAAGGATTAAGAGAGCCCCAAGCTACTTGTTTGGACTGCCTTCTTATTCCGCCCCTTCTTATCTCTCTTTATTTCTTTTCCATTCCTCTTCCTGTATTCCACGAATGGTTTATGTCAGCATCCTCGGACAAAGGCAAAGCTCGACGGTTACGGCGGCGCTTCTCTGTTTTCTCTCCCAAAAAGTCACCTTTTCACGCATACACACTTCTATATGGCTTGTCGGCGAACACGGAAAGCTCACTTGCAGCCTACGACTGGCGTCAGCTCCACTAACTTGGTGCCATGCCTCTGTCGATCTGGTTGTTATATTTCCTTTCTTCTCGCTCGGATATCGCAAAAATTGGCGGCGGACGCAAAAGAACAATTCTACTTCCTTGTAATACCCTCGGTTTGTCTTGTGGTCAGCTTCAGTTTCAGCTATGGTCGTTATCGATAGTCAGTCAGCTTTTTTCTCGCCGTATTACGTCTCTTCGGCTTTCAGGTAACGGCTCCATCAAGTTCGACCCAAGAGAAGAAGAGATGTCTCACAATATTCCACAAAGTACACTCTCATACAAAAATTTCCCGCTCCACCTCTCCAAAACAAAAGAAAACCAAAAAGAATCACTACTTGGAGCCCGGTACAAATCAGCCAAAAATCTCCGCCATACTCGTGCTTGTAGTGTCGCCAATATCTTGGGTCATTCCTTGATAAATCAAATCACCCGTGATCACCCTGCTACAAGTCCGCTGTAAAGATCGACTGTACACAGCGGCGAGTGGCCATGCTCGGCCTATTTTTCGCTTGATAGCAGAACAAACACCCCTGCAACTCCTGCCATCATCATGCCTCTAGGGGCTCTCTTTGGTGGCCTATGGCCATACAATCGCGACGCCTATGCACTTTACGAGGCAAATAATGAAAAGCTCACCCATCACTCTCTTGATGTGATCAGAGGGATTGGCAACACAGACCACAAAACCCACTAAAAAAAAGTAGGACAACTCAAGTCACAAGAAAATGGTAAAAGGCCCCCTACATAATCCTCGTACTAATCGTGCCAAGCAAGCTCCCACCTCTGCACCCAGGGTGGGTGCGTCGCGCCGCGCAGATATTTTCACTGATATGATAACTGTATCTTTGATATGGGGCTTGCATATAAAAGATACTTATAGATACCCAATGATTGTTCCTCTACCACATTAGATATCCCTAAAAATCCAATAGGAGAATATAGAGACCATAAAAAATGCACTGAACTAAAGAAAAATGTGATTTTCTCTTTCATTCTTTCTATCTTTGGTGTATTTCAGTTTTGTTTCGGTTTGGAGAGAATTATTAACATTAAATGTTTATACTTAGTGGTAGTTTATCCTCTTACATGAATTGCATGTTTCCTCTTGATAGGAGCTTCATATCTAGTGCGGTGGTGGAGAAATCAGACAATACCCGTCAAAATGATGAAGGAGGTATTCTTTATGGGTAGACCCTATACAAAAGGTAACTACCTAGCATCAATATGAATCACAAGCTGGGAAGCGAGCGAAGCAAGCTTATGCTGCGACCTCCCCAACCACCCCCCAAACCCCCGCCTTACTACCCCCACCACTAAAGCTCCCGTTGGGACAGGGCGGGACGGGACGGGGGGGGAAATTATATATGTAGACATATCCCATGAACTTATATCCCATCCCATCCCATTCTGAAAACCATGCTCCTATGTCCCATCCCATGAGAAGATCGAAAATCCCATGCCCTATCCTATCCCACGATGAATTGGTGCTCCCATATCCGGTGGGAATCTGGGATGGGACACGGGACGGGAAATCCCGTCCTAGCAGATTGAAGCTTTACCTACCACCCCTACCAACCCCCGCCCTCCGTCCCCCTCTATATGTCATTATCCCTCTATATAGAACGGTGTATCCAGGCTTTCTACTGCCTGGTGATGGAAAAACTATAATCTGGCCTGCAAGGTCACCAAGGCGAGGTTTTCAAGGGGGTGTAGATGAGGCCATGTTCCCGTTCATTTTTTGCGGAAAATACATATTTTTCTATAATAAAGGGAGAAGAGAAGAAAGATAATGCTGAAATATTATTCCAGTGCAATCCACTCACCCTAGATGCGACACAAAAAGCTGCAATAGAAGCGGGGAGCTTGCTTTACCCCTGAGAAAACGCTGAGGCATCTTGCCCGGTGGCAACATGCAGATAAATAACCTGCTGCGGCCGCAGTAGGGTAAAATATTAGACCAGTGACGCAGTGGTTAGCGTTCCGTTCTTATATGCTTCTCAGGAATTTCCCGGAAGGGGAAGGACTGAACTCATATGACTCAAATCCTTACGTGATGCGGGGGTCGTGGGTTCGAATCCCACTTGGTCTAGAGGAAATTAAATACCACATCTTTTTTTTTTTTTTGTACGGCATGCAGATAAAAGCAGTCTTTTGTCGCGCATATTTTTTTACAAGACAAGAAAGAGTGTTTCTTTATGGCTGCATCATGCCGTGAAAGGGATGGTTCATGAAGCAAACCATCAAGTTAAGAAAGCTAAGCAGGAATAGATGCCAGAAACAACTTATGTTGCTGCTGCTCTAAATGGCAGCAGGTTACCATCAAGGAGTTAAAGTATAATAGAGTATCCTACCCGCGCTCACAACCTTTTTGATTGGGGTTTTGGTCCAAATGTTCTTCCCTACAGGCATGCGGCTGGCCTAACCCGGGCCATATACTGACTGTTCTTTACTCACATCGCAATATCATCGTAAGAGCAAATAATATTGGCACATAGTACTTCGAGCATGAAGAACCCCCAGAACCCCAAAGAAAACTTCGAACAGCATGCGAAAATCCCGCAAAAAGTGATGTACGTTATTTCTGTACAGTACGTAAAGTCAATGGAATAAACCCCTAACTCCCATTACGCCGTTTACCCAACCCAATTGCAACCGTATGATACCATCCAAGTGTTTTCTTTTTTTTTTAAGTTCCGCCTCCCCCCCCCCCAACCTTTGTGGCATTCAGGTCGTCGCGGAAAGGACGAAAAGGTCTAACATGCTACCTGTCCCCTTCCGGTTACGAATGATAGCGGTTCGGAGCTTCATTCCTCCACCTCGTTGCTTTTTTGTATAAGGTATTCGCCTAGGACGCGGAGGGGATTTGCGGGTCTACGGAAAGGTAGCAAGGCCTCGTGTTAGTTTGTTGTTGACGGAGATATAGAGAAAATATACAGAGAGAGGTTTTGAGAGCAAGAAGAGTGCGAAAACGGCGTGGTGCGGGGGATTTTAGAGGGTGGGGGGGAGTTTCTTACTGGTCCTTCGCAAGAGTCTTCATCCCTTCCAATAAATATGGCACGATTTTCTCGTTCATGTATATCCGCGCCGGCGCGCCTCCAGCTCGTACTTGTGGGATTGGGGTGGAAGCATTGTTATTGTTGGTGGTGGAGGTGGCAGCAGCAGAAGAGATAGGAACTTGCGCTTGCGCTTGCTGGCTCAGTCCCGCTCCGCCCATTGCAATGTCGGGCTTTTCGTCGATATTGGGTACGGAGCGCATGGTGACGTCTCGCGGGCGCGGCTGGTCTGTCGGGAGGGTGCGGTCTTGGGAGGAGGATGTGATGGGGGCTGCGGCGGTGGGAGTGGCGGGAGTGGGAAGGTTGGTGGTATATTGGTAGGGAGGCCGATCAGCTTCAGGGAGCTGTTGGGATGGCTATATTTTTGTGTCTCCGATAGCGTTGGTGGAGAATGTATTAGCTTTCATGCGGTTGGAGGACCTTTTGATGTGGGACGCAGAAAGAGAATGGATGGGAGGAATTGACGCGCGCATCAATGAAACTGGGGAAATAAAGCGTGTCTTTGATGTGCTATTTCCTTCTGTCGTTTTCTTATCGGTTTACATACCGTATCAACGTTCCTCATGGCTGGAGGCTCGGGGCGCTGAGATTCTGCGCCAAGCTGTGGAGTGGAGTGGGACGACCGAGCCTCGCTGTCCAGCGAAGCATGCAATGGAGGAGGTTCAGACTTCACGGCGAACGAAGACGGGTCGTTCGGAGTTTCAGCCATATCAAAGAATGTATTTATATCCCATTTCTGGTATTGTAGATTGTTTGTCGCACTTATCTTTCTCTCTCCTCTGGGGGAGGACGAGGTGAAGCTCCGATGCAAACAAGGCAAACAACTGTAAGGTCACATGACGACGTGTCGTGTTTTTTCACGCTTCGTTTCAGGAGTCGCGTTTGCCTAAGACGACATCCAGCAGCAGCAGATAACCATCCTCGATTTGCGTGTGGAGGAAAACTCATAGTCTCTCGTTTATGCGCGGTGGAGTCATATAATTATATCCTTTAGAGAACATTTTTTGGAGTATCGTCTGCCTCGATGTTCAATAGCCCCAAATATATATATCCTCGATTCATCCCAAGAATCAGACCCTCCTCCCGGGTACGAATATGCTCGATAATATCGACCCGCCCCCGAAGCGGTTGAAGGCGGAGGGAAGCATTGGAAGTTTCTTTACTAAATCTGGATCTGGATCACCCGCTTCACAGCCAGAGAAAAGTCCTCGTGCGGCTACCCCAAACGGCGGCGAGGATAATGAGGAGCAGCTTGAAATCGGGAACGGGACGGAAGCGCTGATTTCAAGCACCCAGACAGAGCTGGAAGACTCACTCCCCCTTGTGAAAACGGACAAAGAAGCGATCGAACAATACGAAGCTTCAAAAGCCCAGGAATTAGAGAGTGAGGCACATACCTCAAATCTTCAGCAGCGCTATGGCGAACGAAAATGGGTAAAGGGTAAAAGCTCCATATACGTTGATGCGTTCAACTTAGCATTGGAAAACGTGCTGGAAGATGAAGCCCATCTGTTCGACGAGACAGAAATGGAGGTTTTCAACCAATGGAGAGGACTATGCTACGAATCGCAATATCTGTATGCCGCCTGCTCGATATGAATCGCATGATTTGATAGTTGCTAATATAACGACATATGAATAGGTATGTTCGGTTGTTTCTACGCAAAACTTCGGCGTGGCACCGTGTCAACCGACTTGGCTATTACCAAGACATCGCAGATCTGCCTGCCGCTGTCAACGATCTTCGATTGAAGAGGAACCTTCCGCCACCGGTGTCTCACGAGTCTTCAATACCAGCTGGACTGGAACCCACTGAAAACACTACCCTGTGTGAAAGCTTCCGATTTGCAGAAGGACTGGAAGAGATATCCACACTCGAGGAAGCATCTTCCTTACTCATGCTAGAAGAGCTAAAATCCCTGGCAAAGGAAGCAAAAGTCCAGGGGAAAAACAAAAAAGAGCTCTTAAGAGCATTGCGGGAATCCAGTAGTACTCAGGCAGGTCTTGACTGGATTCCTCAACCAAAAATTGAGCCTAAAGGAGATGACGACCTAGGCATATCCCAAGGGAATGGTCCTTCAAAAAGTGGATCTGGTCGCGATCAGTATTTCATCCAGAAAATTTTGAACCACACCGGAGATTGCATTAGACTTGCATCCGCACCTCTAAAACTCTTTGAGCGGGTGCATCTAGTATTTTATCGATCTACCGAATGGACAGAGAAGTCCCTAACGACCATAATTCTGGCCAAGATATCACGCAGGAACTACCCGAGTTACATAGTCTCCCGCTCCAATGCTGTCTTCTCTTCGAGATCTGCATTGCTGGAATTCGAGGCTGCCCTACGGGTACAGTTTGATATCGATAATACCTTGGAATCCACAGGTTTAACTATCATAGAAAAACTCCAGCTTATCAAGTCATTATCTGAGAGCGTCTATGACAGGTGGAAGGCTCTTGTTGCGGAGGAACAACGCAAAGAAGAACGCATATACGAAACAGGAGAAGGCGCATATCTCCGTCGTTTTTCCCCTGCTTGGGTGTATACCCGCATCATCCACAAAGGGTTATCTGCCCTTGCTCGCTTCAGGGAACATAAGCGAGAGCATGACCTTTTAACCGAGTTGCTTGACCAACATTTGTTCCATACTGCTCGCCGTGGAGCATGGTACCAACGCAAAGCTCTCCTCGAAGAACACTATATGTGGTCTTTGATGCCGTCCGATGACCGCTCCGAAGAAGCACAGAAGCGGGAGTGGAAACGTAAGGCACTTCGAACCTGCGAAGAGGGCCTTGAGGACCCTGATTGTCATTTGATCTACCACTATGACTTGCAAAAACGAATAACGAAACTGGAAAAATCGTTAAGATTCGCGAAGCGCGACCAGCACGATTTTGGACACGTTATGTTGATTAAACCCGAAGAGCGGACTGTGGAAGGCATCCGTATCGAAAAAGAATTGCCCGTTAACCCAGGTTCCAAAGACAATAACAATTCGAATTCTGTCGGGCGAAGAGGTAGACCTACAGTTTGGGTAGACGAAAGGGAAGGAGGAGGGGAGTGCAGAGTTGAAAGTATGTGTCTGAGCTGGTATAGAGACAATGGGTGGAAAGGCTACCATTCAGAGAGTGGGATTGTGCGAACTCTAGTAAGTAATACCTGCGTCCAAAAAGATTCTTCTTAAAAGGCCAACCGGGCCAAAATGACTTTAACAATCGTTCACATCTAACTATATCCGAATATAGTTCGGCTACCTCTTCTATGACATTCTCTTCACCTATGTCCCCAACGTCTTCCAGACTCCCTACCAAACCTGCCCATTAGACCTTCACACAGACTCCTTCTACCCCTCCCGTGCATCAGAAATAAATCACCGCCTCGCCGAAATTGCCAACGGCGAAGCCGAACGGCTCATCCGCTCCGTCCACGAGCGCGAAGCAGAAAAGGAAACTTGCGCCATCGGCATTGACTGGTCATTCGAACTAGATGATCTAGTTGAAATCGTCCAATGTTTCCGCGGCGAGGCGCTGGCGGCCGTCTGTAAGGTCATGGCGCAGGAGTATCAGCAGAGGGGTGGTGGGATTCCGGATTTGTTTCTGTGGAGTGTGGAGAAGGGGGAGGTTATGTTTGCGGAGGTCAAGTCGGAGAATGACCGGCTGAGTGATACGCAGAGGTTGTGGATTCATGTGCTTACGGGGGCCGGGGTTAGGGTTGAGCTGTGTAATGCTGTTGCACGGGAGGTGAGGTATGAGGTTGTTGGGAAATAGGGGATGGTGAGGCTGACGATTATATACAATTTTGGTTTGATCAATGATTAATGACTCCTTTATTTACGGCGTTATATACCAATACAACGAAGTGATATTCTTGACTTCATAGTAAGTGACGATTCCTGCCCAACAGTAAAGGGGGTACTAGGATGACATGGTTATATGATTATTATACTGTTCAGCGTTGTCGGGGGGTAGGAAAGTGTGTAACTTGAAATTGTATCAATATATTTCGAGTCTGCTCTTGGAGTAGATACATCCTAGC